TTGCACGAAAGGTTCGCCCCCCCATTTAAGCCCATTGTATTAGTGGCTCAATACGCGCAGAAGCGTGGGAGGGGTCTCCAGTTGTCGTGAGAGATTCACATTACCTCTGCAATAATGCACAGAAAGGATTGGCTTGAAGATGGGCTTGCCCGCTCCCAAGCTTTCGCTGAGGTTGTTACGCCTCTGAATGCTTCGCAGGGGAAGAGCATTTCATATTGAGGTAGCTTGTAGTTTTTCACGTTGACGTGCATGTGAATTTAATAAGTCCCATTCAAATTCGCGTACGGTGCCCCGCATGTGGAGTTGACATATTTGCGTCCGGTGATCTAAAAAGAGGCAAACCTTGTTTCGAGAAAAAGTGGTGGGCGGTGACGCAGATGACATATTTTATTCGGTGTTTCTGTGCGGACCCATAACCCGGTGCTACTTTTTGACATGGTCGGGTGCAACGTCATCCCGAATTAGCACACTCACGCTTCTGCGAGCCTCTCCAAAGCATGGCGGCAACTTCGCTATTGAGGGCCTCTCAGCGAGAGGCCGCGACTCGAGCCCGGCTGTGGCAGTCTCGAGCGGCAGGACCGGGCGGCCGCCTCGGCGGCGCCTGAACGCCCGGGTGTGACCGCTTCGTCAAGCAGCCGCCGAGCAGGGTCGAACCCTGCCGTCGGTGGCGACGGCGGCGACGTCACGCCGAGTGAATGACGTCCGCACGGCCGTCGGCGACGGTCCGGCCGTCGCCCGCTCGACGAGCGGAGCGAGGGGGCTTCCCACAGACGCCGTGTTAGTTTCCGCTGGACGTCGTCCGCCCAGCGAGCGGGGCCAGGGGACTTCCCACAGACGCCGTGTTAGTCTGCGCTGGACGTCGTCCGCCCGACGAGCGGGGCGACTGGGCTTCCCACAGACGTCGCTGGACGAGGCTCGAGCCAGTCGCAGCGGGCTGGCCCCAGCGGCGCGTGGCTGGAAACAGGCGCCGTACATTGCCCCGGGCGAGCGGGACAAAAACAGCCGCAGCACGCTGCCCAGGTAAGGAGGGTCATCAGACGACCGCAACACTTCGTCGCAGTGGAGTACGGCTTGAGACAGAGGCAGTGCATCGCCCTGTCGGCCTGTGACCTGGACGACCTCAGGAAATTGCTACGGTGGCTGCAGCTCGGGACGCCGGCCCACACAGCCAAATGAGCGTTAATCTCCGTGCGGCGAAATTGTATCACTCCCGCCCCCGTCATCCGCGTGCCGACACCGCGCCGCGTGCGAGAGCGCCGCACGCATGGCCGTCAGCCACGCGCCACGCTCCGGACACGGTCATCAATCAGCGCCGTCGGCGAGCCACGGCCGCGCCCGCTGGTCTGGCTAGCCCGCGCCGCCGCCGCCGCCGCCGCCGCCGCCGCCCGGCGCCGAGACGGCAGCGCGCCCGCCGCGTCTGCGAACGCCGCGCCGCCGCTAAGCCGTCTCAGCGTGATTCATATGCAAATGCGTGCGTGTGAGCTGGTGTGTGTTGGTTGTCGGACGGACGGCGGCGGCCGGGCGGACGCGGCGCGTGTGCGTGGCCGGCCGGCAGCGGCGGCGGCGGCGGCGGGCGGCGGCGGCAAACCCGGCCCGGCCCGGCCGGCGGCGCGGCGGCCGGCCGCCCCCGCTCATGCCTCAATCAGTGCTGTCGCGGCGGCATGTGACGCGCACCCCGATGCGGCGCGATACAGGGACGCCCCCCGGCGGCGTCCGATCTGGGGCCGGCGATCGGGTCCCGATAGCCGCGCCGGACGGCTGTCACTCAGCCGGGCCCGCCCGCTCGTTATCGAGGCCCGGGTCAGAGGCGGTCCCGCGCGTCGGCGCTGCGCCGCCCGCCGCACCGCCGCCGCCGCCGCTGCCGCCGCCGCCGACACGGCCCCGATTGCAGGCGATAGCCCGTAAGCGGATTTGTTCTGGCCTCTGTCGGGAAATGTGGGGCGGTTTGGCCGGCCCGGCAGGGGGCAGTTGTACGTCAGGTTATGATTAGGGTGCTGCTGGCGTCCGTTTATGATGGGGGTACCTGTAAGCTGATTCTGCCAGACAAGAGGCGACGTGTAGGCTTGGCCCGTGCTTTGTACAGTGTCTGTGTGAACATTCCAGCTGTCTTGACCGCAAGAATGGACGGATGCGGACCCGCTGTGCTCTTGTGCAAGAGGCGGAGGTCAACTCAGAGCTCCAGTATTTTCCCAGTCCTAGGCGCGCAAAGCTTCAGTTCAATATGTCTGTCACAAATGCTGTTATCGGGTACAAAGTCGGGGAAGAGATGCAGCCTCTCGGCTGTCTAGCCCAGTATATCGGCCCTGATGCTGACCCGGCGGCCGCCTGCAGGTCGTGGGTCACGCAGTTCCAGCTTTTGCGGATCGGGATATACGCAAGAAAGGCCTTCAGCTTCTGGCTTTTCGGCTTTATGAGTTCGGAAGTCTTGTGCTGAATTACATACCTTCAATGTATCAGGAAACAATAGCTCAACGACGTCATGGTGTACACACTGGTCATATTGACAGTATGTTGGTGGCATTGCATTTGCTGTCAGTTGGTTACATTGACGGACCAGGGTGCCGTGACCACAATCAATGTTTGCTCTGTAACATCGATCAACTAGTATCTCCTGGTATATTGAAGATCAATAGCTCAGCACAGAACTCTGAACTCACAAGCATTTGAGCGAACAGTTTTGAGAGAAAGCGGCTCGTAGCACATTAAGATGAGGTTACATGCAAATAAGTAAAGAAAACACAAGCATATGCAATATTAACCAAATCCTACATTTTTGGAACACGATTTCTGGTGGAGAACTCTCACTGAGACACCATACTTCAAGAAAGCAGTTAGCCCAAGATGGGCTCAGGTACGTAATATAGAGCATACGTAACATAAATAGATACGCATACGTAATATAGAGCATATGACACCCAAACAGGCGCAGAAGGCGGCACGATGACAATTTAGACCAGCTACATTTGATGTGCAGGCCTAATTATCTTAAACAGAGGCAGTAAGCTGTGTATGGCAAGACGCGTTTTTGATGCTTTTTGTTTCGAAAAACGAAATCTTGCCTTAGCTGAGCGTTATAGTCATATCATTGTGGTGCCCTCCAAGTAACAAAAACATATAACCACGCATTCCTAACGGAGATGGCAGACACGATGAGAAAATTTTACAGCGAATAACATTTGATAACCTGTAGCCTTTACAAGAATGGAAAAACTATGGGAAGTTTTGACGTGCTATTGTATGCACACCTGGTATCACGCATCTGCATTTGAACACTACATTAATAAAAACACCCTCAGCAAGGGGGGAGCTGCATCAATATTATATATATTAATATATTGTAGGCCTGTGCCACACGAGTTTACGTTGCATTCCTCCAGACACAGGTTGCGTGAATCGTGATGATGGATTTCATCATACATTGATTCGCCTACCTCAGTCACGAACCACGCCATTTTATTATATTGTTTGGTGCTAGGTCATACTATTTTGGGGCAGTTTCAGAGGAGATTCATGTCTTAAGTGCGAACAAGAGGTGAAATTTGCTTTACATGATTTTTAACGATGAATCTGATCCCGCCACCCACATTATTTCCCAGCTCCCAACCTCGTGGTCGATTTTGTGTTGAAGTTCTAAAATTGAAGTTGAGTTGAACACATACTATGTTTTTTATCTTGTGTATGTTCGAGTCATTTTTTTATGGCTCAGACTGTTGTTCGTAGAGAGCTTTTACTTAATCATTATTACATGGATGCTTGCACTTCACGCACACATTGCAAAATATTCTGTAAAACCACGCCTCATCCAATGAGGAAGCCCAGCAGGCCTGACATCGAATGACCAAGACGCAATCAAAGCAGCAAGCCTTTCTATGCGGTTGATTGTTTCCGTGCATAGGCACAAGAGCATTGATCAAATATTTGTATTCTGAGGTATAACCTCAGATATACCTACTTTTACTCAAATCGGGGACACCACCATTTTCGAGGACCCTAAGCCAACTTGAGTGTTCTTTAACAGCAGCACAAAAGGACAGCTTGAGTGTAGGAAGCTGCTAACGTAAACGACGAGCAACGGCGAACATAAGCCCTTGAGCGAAAGACAAGCCAGCGCCGCCGGCGACGCACAGAGACACCGCCTTTGTGTTCACGCGCTGCCCGTGGGGCCTTCAGTCAATGAATGGTTCAGACGTTAAAATATCGGATGGCCGTGTTCGCGATGCACGCTCAGGGAATAGTACGCGTTTTACGCGGTGGATATTGTATGAATGATAGAAGGGTAATTCGTAGCATTTCTGCACACATACAGTCCATGAAGATATGTAAAGTGACCAGTTATATTGAACGCCCAGCTCAAAAAGAGCATAACTGGTAATACTGCACCGCTGCGCGGTGCAGTTTTGCGCGGTTGTTTCAGTTTTGCGCCCAGCATGCAATGTACAGTAAAAGTTACAGTAACAAAACATGGTTTGTCAAGAGGCAAGCTTGATCAAAATTTTTTAATGCTCTGTGGGAAGGACTTGTGTAGAATTGGGAGCTGTCATGTTGTGCTCGTTGCCTTGAAATCACCAGCGGATCTACAAATGACACTGCTCTGTTGGTGTCAATGTCATAAAATGACAAAACGCCATTGTTCCGAACCGGCACTTTTCGGAGCGCCTTGGCAGTATATGAGCTCAAAGAATGCAGACAAAGGGCTGTTGGACGATATCAATGTCGTAGTTCTAAGGCCTCGATCAACTCTAGTGGTTTGCAAATCGCAGTGTAGTGGGATGAACCACGCAAAGGAAATTCGACGTTGCTAAAACGTAATTTGATGTAAAGGCACCCGCAAACTTTTAATCGGTGATGTCATTCTAGACCAAATAAGACGTCGCAAAGGTAGAAACGATTAAGAAAACATTGCTTTTAAACGTAAGAATAATAAACTTGATAAACAGTCCGAACTTAACCGCTGTCAAGCCAAAAACTACGGGCGCCGTCAGCCAGCCCGTCGACCTTACCCAGAGCCCGATAGGTCACATGATGGGCTGACGCCGCAGTACGGGTCCCGCACCAGGCGCCCGTGTCGACCCGGGGAAGCCGGCAGGACCAGGTCAGGCCGGCCCGGCCCGACCGGGACCGACGCGACCCGGCCGGGCCGGGCCGGCCGACCCGACCCGGGACGACTCGCTCTCAAACGCCCGCGGCCAGCGGCCGTTTGATCTCCGGAACATCGAGAGCGGCCGACCGGGCCGGCCTGGGCCAGCCGAGCGTGGCTCATCTCGTGCGCTCGGCCTTACCTTGGTCTCCGTCTTGGGACGGCTGGGTGGCCCGGTGAGATGGGCCCTAATCGCGCTTCACGGCACGCTGCACAATCAAAGTTCAACTTAAATCTGGAGCCGGCTCCGTTTGCTGCCCACGAATAACGACACTGGATTACACAGCTCTCGCTCGGCACTCACCCATGTAAATGACACTAAATGTGGTGGAAACGGCTCCAACTGAAGCGCGGCCGGTGGGCGGAGCCGGGGGCGGAGCTTGGTCGCACGGTGGGAGGTGCGGATCCGGCCGCACCGCTCGGCCCGCGGCGTCCGCGGGAGCGCTGCTGGCTGGCCGGGCAGGCTCACGAGAATCAGTTTGTTTGGGTTCGGAACTGGTTAATTTCATGCTTGGTCGTCGCAAGCCACGTGCAGGAGCACGTTTTAGCCGTGTGCGACGGAGAGTGCGACCTTGTTCTCACGCTCCGCATAAGGCATGAACTCGTCATGCATGCACGCGCTGTGCATGCATTATGCATGCTTATAAGGCTCGCACATCTTTCATTATTGTTCGGCGTGACATGACCCCGATAACGACAGATACATTTTATCGTCTTACTGATTGGCACTGACCGCTGGTAAATGGTCGCTGATTACAGCTGTACTTTGCAAACAAGTGAGAAGCTGAGAATGCTGGAACCGCCTGCTGCTCAGTAAAACGCACCATACCAATTTGCTCCTGTGTACCTATGTACGGATGACGTGCTCTGATACAGATTACATCACCGTCTGCTCCAGAGACGTTTTACGACATTTGCGTTGCCGAGCAGGCCGCGGGAGCACACCGATCCTTACCGATGTATATCAGTTCTGCTCTTCTTCGTGTCACCGTGCACCCACGATTTGTTCATGTTGAGGACAAATGTTTTGACTGGCTAAAATTCAAATAACACCTTTCGATTTTTTTCTTTTTTTTAATAGTTCAACTTTTCTCGACTTTTGAAATTCTTTTGAAGAATTCAACGATGCATAAATGTATTTAGATCAGCGGCGCGGCGAGGAGGCCACTGGAAGTGCAAGAGCATTCACAAGCGGATTGCCTTGGTTGCATTTAACAGGACGCCGTACGGTTATTGTCGAATGTTGCCAAAGATGACGGCCAAGGATTGATGGATGCACAACAAGGTATGAGAGGTGCTGCTGCGTCTGCAGATAAAGCTTCTCAATATTCCTGGGATATTTTCTAAGCATGCATTTGCTGAATGCATCAGCCGGGTCCGTAGTTTATGCATTTTAGGGCTTATTGGATCCTGCAGGCAAGCACACATTTTAGAATCAGTGAACATTTTTAGAAACTTTTACCGGGTCAACATGAGTGAGAAGACCAAAACATACTCATGCGTCCTTGACGCAGTAATCTCTCTAATTTCTGCCGATTGCCATGCGCCACAATTGATTATTTTTAAAGAAAACTTTTAAAGACTTAGAAAAACCGCTAGGAGCACGACCTGGCTCACCGATATCCTCGAGCGCCAATCGTAAGTCTGTTTTACCTCGTGTTAACCTTCGCAAACGGCGGTCACGCCCAATGGGCTCCTCGGCACCGTCTGCCCCCGCGACAGGCCAGTTCCGGCAGTAAACTCTGAAGTGTCGACATGTCGCCACTGTGCGCAGCGCCAGCCTCGTCGCCGCCACCCGTCATCGATCCCGCTCGCCCCTCATCAACTCCTACCCCCTTAACTTGGCGCCTTTCACGGCACGTGCAGCTCGGCCGGCGAGGGGGCGCGCCTCCGGGGCGGCGGCGCGTGCCCGGCTGACTCATTTGACGGGAGCGCGCGCACCAGCCGCCGCCGCCGCCGCCACGCGGGAGAGGCTGGCTGCCGCCCCGCTGGGGGCCGTCACCGAGCTGCCACCGCTGGAGCCGCCAGTGCTGGGGTTCCGGTGCTGCCCTGCCACGGGTGACGGGGTTGCCTGAGCCGCCACTGCTGGAGTTCCGATGCTGCCCTGCCGCAGATGCCGGGGTTGCCTGCGTCGCCGCCGGTGGAGCTCCGATGCTGCCCTGCTTCAGATGCCGGGGTTGCCTGAGCCACCACCGGTGGCTCGGCGCAATTTTCGCAGCAGGCGCTGTTGGCCTGGCACGTCCTCGGTCAACAGAGTCCGCAGAATGTATGCTCGCGTGCCGAGACAGTTTCGCGGCACACGCCGCCCGGCGCACGGGATCGGAGACTGAGAGGGATGCGTGCAGTCGGATGGACAACAAGCACCAGAATTTGGTGCGGTGCGAGGCATTGCGAGTGCCTTTGTAAGTAATTGTCGAACAGGATGAGTAGGCACAGGGAATTCGGCTTCAATAAATTGAAGCTAGTCGTTTCTTTCCTGCCTCTCGTATCACTTATTCTGCTTCTCAAATTTTTCAGATAGATAACACATACGATTAGTTTGCTGACTGCAGCACTTTACGACATCGTGGGCAAAGTGTGGTTTACAAGGCTCCCTGTTTTACGCACAGTACGCACATAGCAATGGCCTATTAAACGCCCGCTCCCAATGTTGGTAAAATTGCATACTCGTTGAACAATTCATGACACACGAAATCTTGTCACGGAATAAGATAACGCCACCTACCTTGTACAGACGGAGGAAGACAGCGTCGTTGGGAGCAACACATGCAAAGCGATGCAAAATCTCTGACAATTCAAAGCATTTTCCTGTTTACGGGCGATGAACACAACAGACAAAAGGCCTATGAGCGCCATGGCGGACTATCGTCAAGCTGGCGGCATAGATCGGCTTGAGGTCTGGTCCCACAGCGGCCACCGGCCTGCCATACCACCATGTCTCCCTCGCCGATCTACGATTCAAGAAGCGCGAGACCACAGAAGCACGGTCGCATGCAATGCAAACCTCAAATACGACCAACTGCCACTGCGGCAAAGGCTTTTACCGTGTCGTAAAATCTTCCGCTGAGCTGAGGAAATCCCGAGATGCCATAAGGGGTTCAGGGTGGAGTCCGCAGCAAATGAGACACAGATGAATGGGAATGTCCGTAAGCCCGACCATGTTTGCGCGGCGTACAGCCAACACTGCTGCCGCCTGGCGCGTCCGGACTTAGAGAAGCAGTCGATCTGATGTGCAGAGGCAGCGGCTGACGGCAGGAAATTCAGGTCGAACATCGGCTGGCAACGGGACTCTCAGATGGACATCAACTGACAATGCTACCCCAGACTGGACTTCCCCACGGTTGGAGAGCTCCCGGGCAGCACGCGAGCTGGTGGTGTGACTCCCAGCCCTGACCATAACTGGCGGTGTACTCTCTGACCCGGAATCAGCGAGTGGCGTGAGGCTGAGACTGAGTATCAGCTGGTAATAGAACCCTCAGACTTGGCATCAGCTGGTAATGGGACCCTCAGACCGGGCATTAGGTGGTAATGGGACCCTCAGACTGGCATCAGCTGGTAATGGGGCTCTCATACTGGGCATCAGCTGGTAACGGGGCTCTCATACTGGGCACCAGCTGGTAATGGGACGCTCAGACTGGGCATCAGCTGGTAATGGGGCTCTCATACTGGACATCAGGTGATGTCGACTCTCGACTTATGGGACTCTCGTACTGCTTGCCAGCTGGCGGACTGGGGATCCCAGACTAGTCGGACTCACAGACAAGCCATCAATCAGCCGACAGTGGGACTCTCAGACTAGCCATCAGTTGCCGGTGGGACTCCCCGACTGGCCATCAGCTGGCGGCGGGACGCTGAGACTGACCATTAACTGACCATGGGACGCTCAGACTGACCATCAACTGGCGGTGGGACGCTCAGATTAGCCCTCAGCACTGGTAGGGGTACTCTCAAACCAGCCATCAGCTCGTGGCGGCACTCTCAGACCAACCACCAGCTGATGGCGGAAGTCTCAGACCGGCCATCAGCTGGTGGCGGGACTCTCAGACCAGCCATCAGCTGGTGGCGGCACTCTCAGACCAGCCACCAGCTGATGGCGGAAGTCTCAGACCCGCCATCAAATGGTGGCGACATCCGCCGAGATTCGGGCCCTGGCGGCCATCACAGCGGCGCCGCCGCCGCCGCTGTCCGGCGGTAATGAGTCGGGCTGGCGGCGGCGGCGGCGGCGGCGGCAGCGGCCGGCCGGCCGCGCGCCGCCCGGCGCGCCGTATCGATCGCAGCCGCGCGGGGGCGGGGCCTGAGCATTACTTCCACCTGAGTGGCTGGCCGCGTCACTGCGGTTCCAATCGCGACTCCGTCCAGCCGCCGGCGCAGATAAAAATGGATGCTGGGCTCCTGCGGCGGCGGAGGATGCTGACAGCGCAGGGCTCTGTGGCGGCTCGGCCAGCCGGAGAGAGGTGCGCAGGTTCAGCTGGAGCGGCCGCCAGCGACCGGGCCGCCCTGCTCGTCGCGGGCGGACGCGTGAGAGCACGACCCTGCGGACGCACACACGGCTGGTCAGACGGGATTGGTGTGGCAGGGAGTCATTCAGATACGAGACGAGTCAAGCGTCTGGGACGATGAGACGCGATGGATTTCTCCTACAAAATGGGGTACGGTCAGTAAATGTTTTTAATTTTTGCTGGAACGAGGTCACAGGTTAAGTTAAAGATGACCTCCGAGTGGAGAATGCTGAGCCGTGGAGCTCGTACTCGATTGGCGACGATGAGTTTTCGAGCCTTCAGCTGGCGTCACTGAGGCTTAACCTCTTGAGGGGTGCCGAAACAGGGGCCGGGCAGGGGGGGGAGTACCCCCGCTCTGGTAGGAACTAGTACTGGTTTTTCTCACAAACTGGATAAACGTTGGCCTTTCCCCGTAACATTGCACGAGAATACGGATGAAGGGC